CAAAATAACCTACATCCAGCTCCGGTGTCTTGAAGAACAGTTCTCTGAGTTTCTCTGGCCTCCAGTATTATATTGAGGAAGGCAGTTTTAGTGATGAGCTATGAGGCCATAAAGTCCATAATAATACAGTGTTGTATGGCATGATTTGAGGATGCTTGTTTCTCAGTGTAGTAAGCTGTCATTTGTTGAGGTTGTGCTGTAAGACACCCTGCACAACTACACTATGGCTGTGCATTTGCAGGAGATGCCTGAGAGTCTTTAAATAATGTGTAATGGAGTGTTGCTCTTTCATCACCTTGGGAAGTGGCTCTCCCCTGTGACAGTCATTATATGCTCAGTGCTGATCCTTAGGAAACACTTTCAATCCTGTCTGTTGTGCCCACACAACTAGGACAGAGTGTGCATTCAGTGCAGAAGCATTACCCCAATGTATCACTGAATTAGTGCTGAAGCCTCAATAAGCCACACCAGCTTAGAGCCGGTGAAGCACCCACAGTAGATGTGGAGCCTTTGGCAGCTCTATCAGGAACAGCCCCTGGGTGCAGTGTTCTTTGCATTAGGGCAGAGCTCAAGGGGAAGCCTCTTTTTCTACTTCGTAAATAAGTAATGTATTGGGAGAGGAACAAATAAAAATGTGAAACAGGTAAGAGAGTAAAATTATTTTTAGATGAAAACAGAAACAGCATTCCTTTTATACTTTCACATATAATTTCCATGTTGATTATAGGAAGAGAGTAAGGACTGCAGGATGCAATGTTTTTGGATTACTGTTCATACCCTCAGATCATGTGTGATCAGGATCCCAGACTTCCTCTATAGTCAGTAGAAAAAGACATGTTCTTACTGCTAGTGTTTTGAATTATGTTTCAGAAGCAACACTAACTGTGTGGGAATCCTTCATAGCTACCTAATGCCTAAAGCTGGCCTGCAGTAGAAGTAGCTTATTAAGCAAGCATTCAATAATAACATTAACTCTGATAGCTCTTCACATTCTTTGGCTTGGTGGAATGTGGAAACCTTGCATTGGAAAACTTGAAGAATTATTTCAGAACCTAGGAAGAACAAATCTAAAATTCTGTGTACATATCACAAACTATAGCTTCCTCAGATTAATTCTTTGTTCAAGTTCAACATCTGTGGTTGAGTGAGATGCATATAGTCTTTTTCAACTTTTCACTCATCATTTTACTATTTGCAGTGGGGGAGAATCCACCTTAAATCTCTCTGAGCTGTTTCAACGCTGTTAAAACCGTGTATCTCATTTAAAGCTTCAGTATTTAGCTATTGATTTTTGCAACATCCTTTTTTTTCCCCTTCCTAGATGAAGATTCCCCTAGTATTAAGTTCCTTTTCTCCCTAGAGGCATGTCTCAACTATAATCAAGTTATCCCTTGTATTTCTCTAAACTAAATAAATTGAGTTCCTTGTGTCTTTCACTCAAAGTCCTGTTCTCCAGTCCCTTAGTTGCTCTGAAGCATTTTCAGTCCTTCAAGCACAGCCAGAGGTACAAACTCTGATCAATGTATTCTTCCAGGATTTGTCCCACTGTCATTAAAAACACGTGTAACTTTTCTACTTCTATTATATATTCACTTGTTTATCCAAGAACTCAGTTTGTTTAGTAAGTGTCACCCATTAAGCTCATGAGAAGCAGGTGAAAGGGATTAATGGATGCAGGAGTCAATTCTTAAAAGTTTACACCAGAATGAATGCTATTATAAGAGTCTTTAATAAGAATGATTGTGTGCAAATATT